ACTACATTAACAAAGGCACGAGGGGTTGGTTGCACTCGATTGGGAAACCGATCCGCATAAATCCGTGATGCAGCGTAAATAAGAATCATGTCCACAAGTTCAGCATTTTCGTAAACATGTGCCATTTTTGATTTCGTTTGAGCCACGCAACAGACACCACTATTCACTCACGCGTTACCGACTGACACTGACTGAATACAACTGAATAAAATAATTGTAAAAACATCGTTCCAAATTCTTTCGCTATTTTGTTTCCGATGCGATGAACCGATAAGGCGGATTATATCCGTTGTTGCCAAACACGAGCACATAATATTATTATTGAGACAGGGCGGTACTCAAACTTCCAAAGGGCTATAACTTTGTTACTTTAATTTTACCAGAAAAATGGTAAAGGAAAAAACATTTCTTTTGATCAGATCTACTCACTGTTAAAATAAATGACTCAACTTCGAAGTCACCCTGTATATTCTTTACCCAATCAATTTTGTACTTATGCCAAACGCGGAATACATATCTGCACAACACCTAGTGTAAAACGCGTACCTAAAGGCATGCAAGACAAGAATGAATAGTGAAAGTATGAAGAACCAAAAAAGAAATTTTATTGGTGGGAAGATAGTAAAGCTCAAATTGCCGCTAAATTTCTCGTGGTTGGTGGTTGTTGGCGCAATTTAAAATGTCAAACACTGCACGTCACGTGACATACGTGAAAACTGTAAAAAGTAGAGAGCAAAACATCCAGTGTATTCCTGTCCCATCAGCTGGGTACGATGTTTTGGTACTCTCCTACGTTTAGGTATCAGATTATAATATAATATGAGCTGTCACTGAGATAAAAGGACCACAAAAGCTGCATAGAAATAACAGAATAGCCCTTAGTTGGTTTTTAAATGCGACCCTCTTTTGGTGCCCTACTATGACACTATAAGAAAATGGTTACAAACAACTTGGCACTGGCAAAAATACGGGAAAAAGCTAAGATCTTACTTACGTTTGGTAATAATATATAGAAATGTCTGTAATTTTTATTTGATCATTAATTATGAGATTAGATTCTGCATTTGATGCTCCCCCTTCCAATCTTCAATGTTCAAAACGGAATGGAGCTCAGCAAGGTACCTTATCTTCAATTTTAAATCACTGGCAAGTGTTCGCTTTTTGATTTAATGTCTATCGAAATCTAAAGCAGGCAACTCTGTTTGTAGTAGTCTTACAAGAAACCCTATAGTTCAGTACCGAAACTGTTGACAGCAAGGCTTTGTTGTCACATGCTCATCTGAAAATTCATAAAATTCACCTAAAAGAGTCATATGCATAAGCTGGGAATGACCATTAGAGTAATATTTTATTGTATTTATTAAAATGCATATAATGCATTTTCAAACCTCCATTCAACGTTGAAAACACAAATTAAATGTTTAATTTAATTGAGATTTGCCTATATGCCTGTTGAATAAGACACAAATCCAGCATACCGCACACAACCCGACAACACCGACTCAAAGCACAACTACCGCGCTTATAAATATAAGGTTGCCAAGTGAATTTTGGTTTAAGAGGCACTACTTAACCAATTAGAAATCATGTGGTACAGAGAAGAGGTGATCTAATTTACTCCAAGATAAAATACATAATATTCATACATATAAAGTGAAGTAAGTTAGGTGGTACATACATAAAAGTTTTGGTAAATGACTTTTGTTGGTACAAGTTGTTATTGAAATATGTGCGAGGATTACAGAAAAGCTAACATACCAACCGACTATTATTTTAATTTGTGCGTGTAATTTCGAAAAAGTCTGTTACCAGATGCCAGTTTGAGTCTCGATAATGGAATAATAATAATAATGTGTGCGTCTAACGACAGTACAGCGTAAAGCTGCTTTATGACTTTTGACATATTTTTCAAGCGTTATCTATCAAAAGTCAAGCTTTAGCGGTGTACTATCGTTAGACGCACACAATAACAACAACAGTGTGATTTAAAAAAAAACATCACTGATATTATCGTTTTAGGTTTACTATCACTGGATGAGAAGGCAAACAATAGTACAAATCTTAAAATGCAAGAGACACCTCAAGACGCGGCAACATCGTCACACATTTTGCCGACGTACAAAGGAAGCACACGAACACCGTTTTCTACTCGTTTTCTTCAGTCAGCTGCGGCGCGGATAACGAAAAGGAGGTGAGCTAGGAACTGTTGAAAATTCACGGATTACTAACAATGGATCACCACGCAATGGATATATATTACATATAATATATGTTTATGCCGCACTCCGAACACGATTTCCAGAGCAACCAGTGAGAGATATAGTTCAACTTTGTAGCGATATGACAAAGCTATCTGTATCTACCATTTACAGAATTAACATGGAAAAATCGTAATGTGTGTTCAGTGGTAGCAAAAACAGGGACGTAAATGAGTGGCTTTAAATGATGATGTTGAAAACGCAATCCGTCGGAAGGCGCACTTGTTTTATTTAAGAAGAGAAATACCGACAATAAAAAACTACAGCACGCGTTGAATACTGACGTTAGTCTACCCAAAATATACCAGCGTGCTTTGCTAAGAACTTTACGAGAAATTAATGTCAGATATTTGAAGGAGAAGAGGAATAGCGCAGTGATCAAAACGGATGGCATAATAACCTGGCACAGAGAATATCTGCAAACAATACGTAGTATTAGCGTAATGGGAAGACAGATGATGTATTATTTGGATAATACAGTTTCTAAATATTGACAAGATCTAAACATCACATCTCGTATAAAAGCGTATCGTGATGGATTAAGTACAGGTTTTCAACGCCCTACAGGTAAGGGTTATCGTTTAATTATCACTCATATTGGTAGCGATTCTGGCTTTGTCGATGGAGGATTGAGCGTCTTCAAATTACAAAGAACTGAAGATTATCATGAAGATGAGAACGCCCAAGTTTTTGAAGATCGGTTCAAAGCAATGTTACCACAGTCGACGTACAGAAACTCTTCCCACTTTAAAATGGAGAATGTTAGAAATTTATAATTGGCTAGTGTTAAATAATTTACCATGCGACCCTTCGTACTACTGTGAATTCAACTCAATCGAGTTGATATGGGCTCAAATAAAAAACGAGGTAGCGCGTAAGAACACTACTTTCGTACTTTCAAGATGACGGATGTTCGTATTCTTTTGGAATAGGCCATTGAGGGTGTAACTGGTGACACGTGACAGAATTGCATAAGGTAATGTAGTCAAAGAAGATAACAAGTTCTGGCAATTGGACCATTCTATAGAGCGGATAATCGAACCGGTAATAATTAACTCAAATGGCGGCAATGATAGTGACAGCGCTGACAGTGATTGTTTCTGCTCGAATAATGGCGAGTCATAAAACAGCAACGATTTTTGTATAAACTGTCACAAATTAGTTGATAGGTCTGGTACCAACTACCAGCACGTATAGGATTTCAAATATTCAAGTTTTTACCAATAATATAACATTTGTCCGAGTACTGGTGATGTCCGGGTTACTGACACATTCACCCTATAGCTTTGGTTCATCCGAACAGAGACGGCCAACCATCCGTGCTTTTTGGCAACTCATCAGCATGATCGATTCTGATAATAAATGACGCTTTATCTTGTCTTATTTCTAGTGACCCTGAGTTATGGCGCTCCAATATTAGTTTAGCTGATGAATGCACAGCACTTTGCTTCTTTCGTTGAGTCGACATGACCAATAATATAACTTGTTATGAATCTACGACGTACATTGTGTTCGAAAAATAGACCGAGATATTTTAAAGGGTGATTCCGTGTTAAGAAACATGAAAAAAAGTTTCGATAAACATGGGTCCGGAAATTAAGAATTTTCAAGATACAGGGTGATGAATTTAATTTTATTTATCAATATCTTAAAAAATATTTACTCAATTCTGTTGAAATTTTGCAATGTTAATTATTTATTAACCTACAAGCAGAAATGATTTTTTGTTTTCCAAGGCGCTTGTGACTTATTTAGCAAAAATTATTAAACCAATTGTCCAGTGATATGCAATAAAACGGCATTTTTTTTTCTCGGAAACGAAGTGAAAATAAGTTGTATTTTTAGATGCTTAATCAAACGACAAATATTAAAGTTAAAAAAGGCAGCTTATATTTTTTGCCAATAATATTCCCTAAGGTGCCTCCCGGGACGCCAGTAGACCTAACAATTTTAATCTATTTATGGCTAAATTAGCCTCTTAATGCAACAGATAATATTGCCAAATTTCAACAGAATCGAATGGATATTTTTTATATTAATATTTTTTTTTAATATATCACCATGTATCTTGTAAACTCCGCACTTCCAGACCTATGTTTTTTCATGCTCTTTAACAAGGAATCGCCATCTAAAACATCTTCGTCTATTTTTCGAACACCCTGTATATCTGAATTTGTTGCATCTTTGTAATAAAACGTTATCACATCACAAAATTTATGGTGGAACAAATTTGTTAGCTGAGCTTCACGTTTAAAAACAATAATCTTCAATTCTTCAATATTCAAGACCTTCAATTTTATTTTTCATGTATTAAAATCGATAAACGATTTAGCTAAATAAGGGCCTTTTTAGCAATAAGAATAAAGGTTTATAACTATTGCAATTATTGAGAATGAGGGATTATATGTATGTGTAATAGGTATCGACGATTGAAAATTAAAGAGCGGGGGAAGGGGTCATATACGGATTGAAAATCATGTTCGAAACTTTGTTTTGGAGGTCGGTCCGGAACCCAGGACACCCCTCTAGATCCGCCACTGCTGGGAAACGTGCAATACAGCTATCTCATCGCAAATGAACTTTCCACAAAACGTTGATAGTATCTTCTTTGAATAACTCATATAATGATCTTAAACCAATCATTTGTAATCCCAATTTTATATTATTAACGAAATGACGTTGCAATAAACTTCACTCATAAAAAGTCTGCACAATTTAGCAATCTTTTTCAAATAAATTTACCTGACATCGATGACCATGAGAGACTGAAAAAGAAATTGGAAACCACATAACCACAAAATGAAATGCTATAGGTCCTAGAGATTTTATGTCTATCGTCAAGGTCCTCAAGAAGTAATGGGTTTAACTTCTAAGTTAGATTTATAACTTAGTGCTATTTTGATGACACATGGCGCGAACATTTGAAGGGTACAGGGGAAAAAGATGAATGTACAACTTGGTGTTTTGTAGTTAGAACCGGCAACATGTAGTCTTAACGCAGTACAATCCCATAAGGTATCGGAAACACGCAAAAACAACGACAATCCCCTGTAATACCCAATTGAAAACTTGCCGTGCAGGGTAAAAGATGAATGTCACAGCCATTGTATGAAAAAAAAATGTCCACTGATTGTCACCGATACTAGTAGCTAAGTACTACAAAAATTTACCATACACCAATCTACGACGAAGGAAATAAACGTCAAGTAATCATTTTTAAGCAATTACCATTAATTTTGTTTTGTTAATTCTAAATTCTTTTGAAAAAAAAAATTTTTATTGGTTCATTTTTTGTTCCAATAAAAAAAATGCTTAGAAATAACTCTTGTTTTTGAGCTATTGAGGTTAGAAAATCTCCTGTTTCTCCCTGTGTAATAAATTTCCTGTTCTCATATTAGAAAAGATCGTAAAACATAAGATAGTCGTTTTAGTGGTTAATCAACCCTGAGATTTTACAGGGTGTCGCATATGACGGAACGCTCATTTCTAACCACAATATTTAAAAAAAAACTTGAATTCAGATATCGACGCTAACACATAAAAAAAGTTTAAAAACATAAAAAGACTCTTAAAATTAAAAAATAATAAGGTTTTCCATTAAAAAAATGTTGGGTCTGCTTTCACTTTTGGGCTACCCTGTATATCAAAAAATATTCATTTATTTATTTATAATTTAACTTTTTTTCAATTTCTTACAACAAGGAATCAATAGTATTCCGTCAGATCTTTGTCCCACCCTGTACAACGAGTCTAGGAGTCCTCAAGCTTTTAAATTCACTTTTCTCAAAACTTACTTTTTGTTCCATCATTTTTCCCCGTGCTCTTCATTTGGTGGTCCCTCTTCTGGCGATCTGGAAGGTTTCATCAGCTAGAAAATCAAAGTTCCTAATGTGATGTAGCAATACGATCCGGGGATTCAAAATTGCTGACTGCTTAAAAATACTAAAAACCTAGTCTAGCTACGCTACTGGGTAGGATTAAGAAGACTTAATTGCTTGGACACTGCCGTAGCGTGGAATGAAAGTATTTACATATGCTTACATATTTAAAGAAATAAGGAAACTCGGTGTAACTACAACTGGTCAATCGTAACCAACCAATGGCGATAAAATTCAGATTTTTTTATATACCGTGGGTTACAGCTATTTATTCCTGAAACTTTAGACTAGCTTAATGATTTATTTGAGTTATAGAAAATCATCAACAAATGCTTTGAACCTAATACCAACGAGCGAACGAGCAATTCAACAAGGTGCAACATTCCAATCATCAATCATACTAGGAACTTTCCTAAATTGTAATTTGTTAATCAAATTACTTACCAAAGGATGGATGTTGCAACAAAAACTTGGAACAAACACAAAACAGAAGTCACTACAACAGGTAACATAGTTAAAAAAAATTGATTATTTCGAATCGTACGTAAAAGTAGCCACTTGTTTGGACCGTAGCACAGCCGCCAAATGAAAAACTGTGAATAGATAATGACGTCTCTTGCATTCTGCGGTGGGCTCTGGGGCTGTGCTACGTATCTCAATTCAGCTAAGAGTGAATAGCGAATCGAGGATCGAGGTAGCGGGCTAGCGGCATCTCGTTCCACGCTTGCTTTCAAGTATTGATCAAGCCTACTCGGTTATAGTCGGAATATTTCGTTAGACTAAAAGTAGGTCAGCAGGATACACGTGTCTTCGTTGCGGCCTTGGCTTACATGCTTTCAGATGATAAAACACAAAGGCTCGATGTTGCCACGTTCGTTGCATCGAATCTAGGTCGTCAGTCGTCATATCATGGATTTAGCCCCAACATTGACTTGTTCTTTGTTGTTTAGAGAAAATATACATATATGCTGTCATGAGCGCCCACAGAAATTTTTCTCAGGGGGGGCGATCATAGGCCAGAGATAGGCTTTTAATTAAAATTCCACAGGGTGACCAACAAGAATGCGAAGTACTGTACCTGGGAACCTATCCATTGTAGAGGCTTGCTGCTAAAAAAGTTATATTACTAAAAGCACCTCGAATATATTTTCAAGTTTGTAAGCTTACGAAACATCTCAAACACATTTTTGCATTCGTGTTCAACCCTGTAGCACACGAAATCTTTCCAGAAGGTTCACAAGTCTGGTTAGTGTCACTCAGCACGACGGCCCTTAAGCCTGCTTACATTATACATTCCATTCCTTCTCTGGGTACTTGTTCCCAGGATAAACTTTGCTGGCATCACAGTTCAAATAGTGCGTGAAAACCATCGCTTCTCAGACCAAGTAGTGCGGATTGTGGACCTAATTACAGTGTTGATGTGCTATTGGGTAAGTGTTTTGATTACCTGACAGGTGAGCAATCACTGAGTATTTCCTTTATTCTGCTGTACTGCATGGATTTATATCTATAACATTTTTATATTCCTGATCATGAATAAAAATAGATAATAAATAAAGAAGCTTTGATCACATAGCCCTATTTATAAAGATGCTTTGAGCATAATACATTCATAATAATAAAGGTGCTTTAATCATATATCCATATTTACAAAGAGGCTTTGATCATATATCTACATTTATAAAGATGCTTGGATCATATATTCATGTCTCTATCAATTACTTACGGACTCAATAATTGCGGATGAGGATAGGGAAATTAACTGGCTTATTCAGGGGTGACGTCTCCAGTCTCTGGGGTTTATTATGGGACTTTCGGAACCCAATTGCTGGGTTAGGTGGTTATGTTAATTACTGCTTGGTTTTCTCTATCAGGGAAACGACGGAGTGCTTGGGATGTTGACACGATGGCCTTTGGCCGACGTGGCAGCCTAGGTCTGATTGACCGCTTAACCATCTTCTCTTGGTAATCGCTGTCGTCTGAATGTATCTCATGGCAGGATGTGCGTAGGGATTGTTGTTCTAAAGATTGTCTTCTTGATTGGTTATCTCTGATTAAGGGGAGGCCTTTGGAAATTGACACAACGGCCGTTAGCCAACGTGATATCCTGGATCCTGGACTGCTTTTCGTAACAATCGTTAAACTCAGCATATCTGTCTATACGCCTGGGTATCAACATAGGTTGCTGTGTACTCAAAACTGTGTTGATCACGTGTGCTTAAAATTGCCTGAGTGGAGGACTGTGCGTCCTTGAGGGACTGTGTGTCCCAGGGGGCTGTGTGCCCCCGCTCTTAGGCTCTCCGGACCAGTATATGCTAAATCCTAAATAAATAATGATGAATTGGTACCACTGGGGATAATTAGCGTAATCCTAAGGTAGTGCATGGTATGAGTCGGTTGAATATGGGAGGTACTCAAATCATGTTTCTAAAAATAGGTGTTGGCCCCGACAATCCGATCATATTGCCCTTATCGCTTGCCAAAGGAGGATAACTCGTCGTCATTCCGTCACCAAGTAAGGGAGTAAGTGGCTTTAATATTACCCAGACATTATTGCCTACATCGAGTTGTTTACGTACTGCCCTTGTAGACAGAAACGAAATGGTACAGGGTGGTACTATCGAAACCGTCTAAGATGGATTTGTGGTTTTCACGTTTATCGTTATATTCCATTATTATCATATCTCGTTCGAATCCTACAAGTTTCTGAAATGCCCTCTAGGAGGCGTAACTGCAATTTTGAATCTAAAATAAGTGATGTTTCTGTGAGTTCCGCTATATTAGCCTAACAAAAAAATACCTGACCTGTAAATTCGAGGATGATCTGAAAAATTTTTCTTTGACAATTTTTGCTAAAAATAAAGTGGGGAAGTTTCCGTAAAAAACACCGTGTATATTCGAAATGGCTGAGCCTGGGCTAGTTGAAATGAGGTATTCTTGGGCTACAAATGTTTTAATATTCAAAGTTTTATTTCACATGTGGCCGCTAGAGGGCTTTTTCGACATTCCGACAGAATTGAATATTTTTCTCAGAAACATTAAATGCATTATATGATTTTTTATGAAAAAGTACCTAAATGATGCCTAAACAAGCTCGCGAAAACCGCATCTCCATATCTTGTTCCTAACCTAAAATTTAGGCCGAAGAAAATTTTACCCGGAAATCCCTTACATTTTTATTTTCTTAGACTAATTTTTTTGGAATTCATTTTTATCATTAAGTTGTGTCCGTCAAAGGGACCGAATTAGAAATTGAAGGTTTTTAATGCTCCCGTAAATGCTCCAAATGCTGACCATCATGTTTTTTGCATTCCTGAACCCTCTCGTGGGTAGACAAAACTGCAGCTTCAATTTCGACTCTCGGTATGTTACGAATCCGGTTTTTCATATCTTCTATGGTTGTACGTTGAGTCTGAAACACGATGTCCTTTAACCGCAGTGGCGGATTTAGAGGGGGGCGCGGGGGGCGAAATGTGTGTAAATCTTGACTGATTTTGTTCGGGGTTGGTGTTGCTGCGAACCACTATTAGTCTAAGTCTGGTTTTATTGCTGCAGGTTGCTCAAGGGGGTATTCAAAACGTGGACGCATAAAATGGGTACACCAATTTTTGTGGGAAAACTTTTTATTCGACAACAAAGAATGAGAAAACGTGCTTTTTGGGATTCAATGTAAATAATTAATAATAAGATAAATGTTATTTTTATGCAAAAAAGGATGGGTTACGTTTTTCTTCTAAACAAATTCAAACATTTCGTATTTGTGAGTAACTCGCAACAAAAAATGATAGACACATCCGCTTTGTTTTAAAATGTGTATAGTAACGTATGTATACTAAGTGACATATAAATCCGAACACCCAGTTTAAATGGTTTTATTTTAATAAAAG